CCCCGTATAATATACGGACTGCGCCAGCATTGCGTTTACCAGATATGTTTTAGTTTATTAGAATTTAAATTAAGTAAAGGTCAGTGTCTACTCAGCACCTGAAGATTACGGTGTGCATTGAACTCGTGCTACCGGTGACGGATAATATGTATATTTATTAAGATATATATATATACTAGCAGTAGAGCCCCGGCGTTGCCCGGGGATGTAACAGTAAGAGATAGATCAAGTATTGACCATCATAAAGACTGAAAAATAAAATTGACAAAGATTATTGTTCAAGGTTGACGGACACGCATGTCTTAATTAGTTTTTTTTTTTTTTACGAATTGGTCAAACTCAAACAAAAACATTGTTTTCAATCGTTATGAGTCTACCGATTGAATAGAATTTTATTATAAACAATTGTCTTGTAAATGAAATTTTTAAAGCATTCTGAATGTAAAAATAAAGAAAAAAGTGTACAAACATATATTGTTAAATATAACAGACAACGAAACAAAGCAACTCAGACTCAACAAAATTACATTTCAAACCAGTCACAATTTATTACAATGCATTTAAACACACGGTTCTGTTGATAACATTTCTTTCTCTCACGTGGTCATGTACGACGTCATAGAACCGCATTACGAATTTACAACCTGCGCCTGCTATTCCGCGACCGTTATCATCGCATAACAAACTACTATAGAAACATAAAAGGATGTCATCTTTGATGGTGAACATCTCTGTTGTAATGTCCATATAACCACTCTGATGATGGCTCATGGGAGTTGGTAGATCGAGGAACAGCATAATGAAAAAATGTTGGACAGTTTTTGTCTTTATTTTCTTCTGAAACTAAAGCCACTATACGAAGCTTAGATCGGCTCATGATCAAGCATAATAGACATTTGTTGTCTATTATATTTAACAATATATGTTTGAATATATATATGTGTGTGTGTAAACATTTCTCAGAATTAACATGTAGAAAAAGACAATATGTATAAAGGAAAAAGACAATAAGAAAACTGTAGTTTTAGCCGACGGGTTTGATCCAATGTGGACTTTTTTTTTAGGCAAAAATCGAAATGAATTTATTGAAATAAAGTATCTATAAACAACAAATAAAATGTCGTTTGCAACTAGAAAAATTTAGAAACGCTATTATATATCTACATGGTCAACTGAAAAATTAGGTCAATTACTTTGTTTGAAGAGAATATTTTCACATGTAGCAATATTGTTTGTATTGTTGTGTTGTCGGATTCAAATGTTTTCTTTTGATTTCTTGATATATTTGTTGTGTACGTTGGCTTTGGAGAGTAGTGATTCTGTTAGGAAAGGTGATACTGAGCGTAGATTAATATTTGGATAATATTCAATGGCGACACTCACGAGGATTTTCCTTCTGAGTGAATTATTTTCCTTTTTATGAGTGTAGTGTTTATAAAATCAAAATTGTGGTTAAATTTATTTCTATGTATGACTAGTGCATTTGTTAAATTGAATCTATGAGCACAAGAGACCTCATAAATTACAAATGGGAATGAAAACAAGCTATTTGTACTGACTCTGAATGGGAAAAACAAAAATGTTGTTTATTATTGCAATAAGTTCCAAATAGACAAATTATATCATTGTTTTGATGAAAACTGAAAAGTTTAATAAAATTTAATATGTACTTAATGCATGGTGTCACTGTTGGGCCTAAGGCCCAATCAAGAGCCCCCGCAGGAGCTAGCTTAAATGCCACCCGATAGGTCGACTTTTAAGCTAGTATATATATATATATATATATAAGGATAAAGAACAAGTAGGAAACAGATCTTAATCTAACATGCTTAACTTTATTAAAGCTTCGTCAGATAGAAATGATAAAAAGGAAAGATACGCAGATTAATGGTATGTTTTGTTTGGTTATTTCTTTTTGGTTAGATATGTGTCACGTGTAATGAAGTAACAGATAATATTCAAATATGTGTGACAAACATTCTGGACGTAAAAGTTAGCGAGATGCAGTAGGATGTTTTGATTGGTTATTTCTTATTAGTGTAGATATGTGACAGATAATATTCAATTAAGTCTAAGAAAACATTCTGGATCCTAAAATGTGTAAAAGTTAGTGAGATGCTCTAGAATGTTTAGAAAAATTTTGTTTGGTTTGATTTTTCATTAAAGTATATCTCGTGTGCATATATATATATATATATATATATATATATATAAAGAAGAAAGTTACTAACACACAGTTTTTAAATTTAAAAACAGTTGCTATAATGAAGCCGGATTGTTATTAAAAATGCCTTAAAAAAATTTGAAGTTTCTAAATGTGAGGCTCAAAATGATGTAAATGAACCACCAAAATGAAGCCTGACGATTTATAAAAAAGATACATGTATAAAATTTGACTTTCATATTTGTAAAAAAAAAAAAAGATGCTCAAGTTTTATGGTCTCAAAACCCATCCAAATTGCAAACAAGCGTGGTTTAAAAATATACATTAGTGATTTTTAACCAATGGAGAAAGTAAGTTGCAATTCCAGAGTATTGAATTTCTGATTCTGTTCAAAGCCGATTTGTGGCTATCTACGAAGTCTGACAGACGGAAGGAATTTGACTTTCACGTGGAGACCGTCATCTGGTTGCTGAGGGCTGAACTTAGAAGAAAATGAAAGTAGATATCTGAAGGGTTTCCGTATTTATAAGGACAACGACGAAAAGAAAGAAACTGAAAAAAAAGAAAGAAACAGAAAGGAAAAAGAAAAGAAAACAAAAAGAAGTTTCTACATATCTAGTGAAATATCCAATTATATTTCTACAACTCTTTGTGAAAATATGTCACAAAATTAGAGGTATTAACCCTAATAACCTTTTTATGAAAATACGTGATTTATCTCAACTTAGTTTGTAAAACTGCAAAGTTGTCTAAATAAACCAGAAACCCAGCGACGCCCATGAATTTGTCATGCTTCTCAACTCCTTTTGACAGTTCAATTAATCGAAGTAAGTGAGCATTTTGTTAATAATAATTATAATTGCTTTATGAGCTCAGCGTAATTATATTCTAAAATTGTTATCTTGCTTAATTGTTTGGTGCACAAATTAAAATTTTGTGCAAGCTTTGTTTTGTGGATTTTATATTTTATGCTATTATTATTTTTATACCATTCAATAAATGTGGATTTCTTTCAAATTTCACAGCGGAGGAAGTTGTTTTTTTTTTTTTTTTTTTTTCGCTTGCGCCATTCGTAATACGCAGTATAAGAGATTTGACGTTCTCTCTTCGCATTCTCTCCGCAAAATGCTTTTAACGTTCAACCTGCGGACAAAAATGATGTTCCCAGAATTTTTACAGCTTTATTTCAGAGATACTTAAATTTGCAAGTACGTTCCTCTTACATGCAGGCATACCCACACATGTACACGCGCACATTATGAATGCAAAATTCTCATTCCATATCTTATACACTCTTGCCAATTACCGAAACCTGATTTGTAAAAATGGTTTAATGTTTGTTTCACATAGATTTTTTTTTGCCTACTGATGACTTTTTCTAGCAGCTTCGTTTTATGTCAAATTCTTTTCAATACTAGCCGGTACCTTTTTAAAATTTGGACGACAGGGTAGTTGTCATATCATTTATACAAGGTCGCGTGTTAACAGAGTGCCACCACACTCCAGATGAAGGTAATTCAGGAGACTTAAATCAAGTGAGCTCGAAGGACATATTATTTGTGGTGGGGGACATAATGATGAAAGTTTTCAATAGGGGCCACTCTTTGGTCACGTGAGCCATGTGAATAGGGATCAGAAAACGGCACCCTTCTCGATCTGGAGCTTGAGTTTCGTCCAAAATGTCTATGTAGGTGAAGGCATTGACCCTGATACTCTGTAGGGAATCGTGAGGTGGCATGACATGACACTAGTTGATAATATACCCCAAAGTCATTGCAGTTGTGAAACTGGTTTGCGTCACCATCACTACCACTGTGGGGTCTGTGCAGTTTTCTGTCGTTCCCCTTGTTTACCAATAAATTTAAAGAAGTTCCTGTTTCAAACTGGAAGCTGTCGTGTTAATGCTCTCAATATGGTTGACAGTGAATTGAGAATATTAAAATGTGGTGTGCATTCTGTGTAATATTACGTTGTATGTATATATATATATATATATATATATATATATATATATATATATATATATGAGACAAAATTGATAAAAATACAATTAAGATTTCATTCAACATCTTGAGCTCCTATATGTGAGCAGAAAGCAGTCCACTCTCTTAACTTACAAATAGATTTTTGTCAGCAATAAACATATCTCTTTGAGGAATCTTCATTAAGATGTAAATGAGGAACAATATATATATATATATATATATATATATATATATTGTTATGGTCCAGGTTAGGACCAAGGAAGAACAACACGAGCACAAGAGTAAAAATAACAAAGGTATATTACACAAAATAATAATACAAGATGTGGAAGGTGTTAGTATGACTGTCAGTCTGGTTTGGAGTGAACTACTATCGGCTCAACTCAATTCGTCCCTCTCTCTTGAGAGGCGTAGTATACATAGTATTAGGAATAGTTCATTCTGTAGTTATAGGTAAGGACCCATGACATATATATATATATATATATATATATATAAAGATAATCTTAAGGAGCCAGGCAAACCTACCTAGGCTTCACCTAAATGGATCTTCAGGGTAAGGCTGGCTATTGCAGCCAGCATTACCCTGAAGATCCGTTTAGGTGAAACCTAGGTAGGTTTGCCTGGCTCCTTAAGATTATCTTAGGTTTTGCTCTACTTAGTGTATTGAGAACTTTACGTAGTTGTCTTTTAACTCGTTTTGTTTGTTGTTTTTTGGGGGGTTTTTTTGGACTTGGAGCTTAAACACTGAATGATTGTTTTCGCCTTATTTTAATGTTCTTGGTTCTTTCTTTTTTATTTCCCATTTTTCCTCGTGTACCAATTTGTTCTACTGCAAGTTGGGTTATCTGAGGTTTTTCCAAACGAGTACCACCATATATATATATATATATATATATATATATAGTTATATTCCCAGATAAATTCCCAGATGTGGACAAGACAGATTGGTATAAAATGACAATTGGAAAAATCTTAGATTTTTGCCGACGATTTAATCTAAGATATTTTCAAGTTGTCATTTTATACCAATCTGTCTTGTCTACAGAATTGGTCTGGGAATTTAACTATATTATTGACATGGAAAAAAAAATCCCTTACTATAAAGGTAATTTCAATATGATCCCACAGATAAGAACTTTTCAAGCAGGCATGAAGTTCATCTGCAGCTGTTCCTCTTTTGACAACAGAGAGTGTTTGTCTGAAATCTTCAGGTAGCAGAATTGTTACTCCTCTTATGAGTCTATCATTATGCCTGATATCTTTCAGTGTTCTGTCTAAAGCCTCAGATGCACCCAAGTGACCCATAGTGCACTCATCACAGACTATGAAGCAAGTTACCTGAAATAGCTTGGCTAGGTTTGTACCTCTATTTATGTTGCACCCTGGATTGTCATTATAAACCAAGTTTAATGGCAGTTTAAATGTCAAATGAGTGGTTCTTCCATAGTAAGCAAAGTAGCTGCTATTCCAGATGATGCTACAGTTAAAGCCACTGTTTTTTGCACCCTAAATGAAGATAAAATTTAGTTAGAAACATTTTGCCAGTATCTCCAGGAGCATCCAAAAAGAAAATTCCTCCAGCAGAATTGTTGATCGTTAACATAATCTCATTGTAAATGACTCTCTGGTCATTCTTAAGAAGAGGTGTATTAGTCTGTATTTAGTGGATCAGCTCTTCATGGTTGTATCCAGTCTCTCTCATGATTTCTCTGTTTAAGGGAGCAGAATCTGTTTGGTTTAGGAAGTCCAAAATGGGACAGTTCTTTTTGTGTCACATTTAGCACCTTATCTTCTATTTCACATAGTGCAATGTTCACAATCCTTGAGTTCATTTGTATGGCTAGTCCTTGATGAATCAGTTGCATATGATGAAGAATGTCTTCACTCATAGCTTCTTGGTGTTTCACCCACAGATCCATTGGATTTGAAATTTGACATGTAGCAATCATAACAGCAAAGAGATTCCTTTTTTATTTTTAGTGATTGATATGAAAGTGCCTCTTGTAAAGTTTGATCCCAATGCTCATCACTTTCTATAAGGCCAAGTTAAATGCATCCTGTCCATTGGTTGCTTTGGACCCCTAACATTATGAAGAAGTTGAAGAAAAAAGCATTCAGAATTTTTTGGATGTACTCTATAAACCCGACTAAGTACATCACTACATTTAATAGCAGGTTCAGTTGATGAAGTTCTCCTTGCTTTCTTCTGTGGAATTTTCCAGATTCGAACATGTAATATTTAAACACTTCAGGATAGAGAATTGTTTTGAAAAAGTCATCTACATTACATAGGTTAAAGAATGCCATTACGGTAGTGTTTTTTGAAGTTTCAATCAATTCCTGAGCATTGTCTTCAGTAAAATACACCCAATGTCCATTTTCAAAATGAACATTCAAGCACTGAACTGATAGGTGTCTGTTGTGAATGTTAAATGAAAAGATTCTCCAGGCAGCCTCATACATAGAAATGTATCTTCCTGACTGAAATATTTCTACTTCATTGTGGTTGTCAATGGCAATCACATTTTGGACACTCCCCTTATTTATGTACTTGAACACATACTTATTGACTTAACACTGTTACAAAATTCCATTGAATGTTTTGCACAAAAGTGGACTACAGGGAACAACCCATTTGTTGTCTACCAGTAATTTTGTCCATTTCTTGAAGGTTGAAACTAAATCCTCCATCTTCAGTCTTTTTTCTTCTGTAACTTGGGTAACCATCTGTATCCATTTTTGTGTGATTGACAAATTTTCTTGGAAATCTTTTTGTACATCTGTTGTCAACCATGAAGGGACAATTTAAATTCAAATAACCACATGGCCCATGAATCATGTATCTTTTTACTATTTCAAAAAGCCCTGAATCTTCATTAGGATTTGGTAATTATGCATCGATGATAGAATTTATTTGATTTGGATTGATCTTCTCACTTAACCATAAAAGTAAATGTACATGTAGCAGTTCCCTCCTCTTTTCCCACTCAACTCAATACATGTGACATTTTACAGATCCAAATATTTTTTTCTTTATTGATGAGATCCATCTGTTTTTTGACCTTCAGCTTAAAAATCCTAGTAACAATATCATGCCTGTTTGTTGCAGATTTTTCGAGAAAGATTTTCTAAAATCTCAGGCCAGTTCAGATTTGTAGTAAATGTAACAAATAAATCTGGTTTGCCAAAATGTCTTACATAAGTCAATCCATCTTGAATTCTTTCATGCATGAACCTTTATCCACTTGTGAATGATGAAGGGAGAATAACTATGTGTCCTGCATTGACAGCATTGCAATCATTCAGAATTGCATCCTTTTAGGTGGATCTATTCCTCTGCTCTCTTAGTTTCTTTTGATTCATTTTAATAAAAACTAACCTTTCTGATTTATTTTTTGCATACATATCCACCAAGAACTGGTTGAATAGTTGCTTGAATCTGAAGAAATAATTATAACTGTTACTCTTTATCATAATTCTGTATGCATAGAAGTCCATGGCTGTATTTTTTTGCTTGTGGTTAATCCAGGGTTCAAATGTCCTTGCCTGAGGAGAAAATGGTTTACATCTGTTTCTTGCCAAAAGATGAGTGGATATTGTAAGGCATCATAAGCATTTTCATTTAAAAAGGTTGAAAAATTTTAATATGCCCCCCCCCAAAAAAAGTAAACATTGATTTGATATCATATTATTTAAAACCTTTTAATATTTTAATTTAGTTACATTTGCTACCAAAAAACCTACAGGTATTTGTCAAAAAGAAAAAAGTAAATAAATAAATGCATGTTCTTTTTTTATGACAGAGATTTGTAAAAACTTTGGCAGACTTAGAATATTTTTAAACCAAAGCTGTCACTTGAATTACAGCTCTTTCAAGGTATTTTCAAATAATAATAGAAAACACACACCAAAAAAAAAGTTTTCATTTGAATAAATCCAGTGGAAATTAATATAGAAAAGAAAAAAAAGGAGATATTTTTAGACATTTAACTGGTAATTGTGAATGGATTTCTAATTAAAATTAAAAGAGGACAATCATTTAATAGAAAATATTTTAAGCAGTTTAAGCAAATTAGTCATTAGCTTATTTGTGTTAAGACTTTTTAAAAATAAATAAATTAAAAAGGAAGCATTTTGGGTGGGTGGGGGATACTTTGTGTATGAAATATTGTTTGCTTTTTTTATTTGTTCTACTTACTCAAAAAAGTCCATTTTGGTAGAATGTAGTTTGTCAAATTTTCTCACTAATTACTGTAAAATAAAAACAGCTAATTATGGATGCTAGATATATAAACTGATTAATGTTTGCCTTTGCAATATAACCTGGTAATCTTTCTAGGAAAAATTAGTTGTTTTTCTGTGGGATTAATGTTCACTATTTATAAAACGTTGAAGCAGTTGTGGACATTCAATATATTTGTTCAAAGAATATGACAGTTAAGAAAAGTTTTACAAATAGATGACAACTTGTTGAAGGCCAAGTAAAATGCAAATTTCAAACATTTTCTGAACTATATAAGACAATATTCTTAAACGCAAATATTTTTTATATGAAAATCAAAACAATCCTTGAATAAAAGAACAGTAATGAGGACAGTTAATTAATGAAATATACTTTTTTAAAATCAACATGCAAATTAGTTAAACCTAAAAAAAGATAATATATAACACAGATATTGAGCTTTTAGTGTGTAAATTACTATAAAGTAGAGTTGGGGCCTTTTGATCCCAGAATTCATGGTAAAATTGAGATCGAATTTTGCAGTTATTCATATAGAAGAAGATATAGTTTAAAAACATGGTATATTTATGGATTGAATAAATGTGCTTGAGCAGGCATCTGCAATGAAGATTAGCTAGCCACTCTAGTAGATGGACATAATCAAATACGAGTGACTGCACCATTTGTCAGTCTGGCATAGGCAATCCCAATGTGCAGTACCTTTGGAAAGTGCCTGAAAACCATACCATGGATTCACCCAAGTCTTGGGAGTGAAATTGGGTAGACATAATCCTTAGGAGCCGTCGATGGTTGTGCTAGCATGAAGTCACAAGTCATCATGGCTGAGGGTTTGAGCGTGCTGGCCTTGTTCAGATTGTTGATCATACTAGATAACATGCACTCCCCTAGAAACTGTAGCTAAGGTTTGCTCAGCATAGTTGCAGTATAAACCACAGGTGGGCTCTGGGTGTTTAACAAACACAAATGTGCCTGAGCAGGCGTCTGCAACCGGGATTAGCTAGCCAGCCTAGTAGATGGACATTATCAAATATGAGTGACTGCACCATTACTTTTATACTTTTTTTAGACATTGTCACATTCTCCCAGTTTGTTTTTTGAATTGCTGTGGTTAAAAACCGGATTTGCACCAAATTTCATCTCTGTCTCTCCTATAGCTTTACTACATATGCACTCTGTTAGAGCCCACTATTGTTATATAGCAACAACTCTATGTAGAAACTTAGGAAGTTTTATTTTACTAATTCAGCTTTAGTGTTGAAAAGGTTTTATTTTATTTTGTTGGATGGTTACAAGTGAGAGGGGAGATACCACAACTACATTATGACTTTTTTTATATTTAACAGATAATTAATTAAATAATTATTAACAGATAATATCTATGAAATCATATTCTGATATTATCACTATCAATCTCTTGTACAGATATGTTCACTGAGGGAGCAAAGAAAGGGAGGTATAAACACAATTAAAAAAAAGTGACAGTAAATATAACGATAATTCATAAACAAGGGCAAAAGAAATTAAAAATGCAATAAATTGATTAATATAAATAAATTAGTTTATGTAAAGTCTTTTCCTTCTAAAATGTTCATTTTGCCTGCAAATTTCTTTACTTAAATTAAAATTTGTTTTCTGTTTTAGTTTAAGTCTTATGATAAAAATTTATGAACAACATAATTTCCCCTGGAAAATGGACAAGAATAAAAATTATTTTGTTGCAAATAAAGTCATTTTGCCTTTAAAATAATATGTACTTTCTGTTAGTTGATCTTAACTCTTTTGGTTAAATATATATAAATAATCTTTTCTTTAACGCCATGTCTCTTCAGGAAATAGAGGATCATGACCCTCCACAGTTTCCTTTTCTTTATTATTACCATGATTTCCTGGAAAAGATAGTGAAATGGTTTCATACTTCCTTCTCCACACCATGGAATTTAGAGTTTTCCTTCTCTTGGAGTGGTTTCCATTCAAGGTTACAGAACACAACCTCACTTATTATTTAGCCCCCTATCTGATTTGGAAGAGAAGAGATGGATTCATACTTTTTCCAAGGTTATTAGTGTGAAAGCAAATGTCACAGATTAGCCCAGAATTTTACTTTACCTTACCAATTCCAGCTTTAGCACCAATATCCATTACACTACCGACACATCCAATAATGAGATTTTCTAAAACATCAATTCTATGCAAAATAAAAACGAAATTCTCTCTTGTTCAAAAAACAGTTCCTTTTTTTTTCTTTTTTTTTAATATTTAATCCAATATTTTTTTCCTAACTTCTAGTCGAAATTTTAATCTTTTTGAAATACTGAATTTAGATTTAACCTGAATAGGCGCAAAAGTTCACACCTTTTTTTTTAAATAGAAAATTTATTAACTCAACAATAGTAATAATATTTTGTATGTTAATAAAATTAATTATACTCTATACAAGCAAGATTACATTTCGCCTAATGCAGGCTTATAATAAGAAACAGTATAAGAGGTCAAGTGTTGACCAAAATACTTCTTGAGGTGTGGCAGACAACACTTTTGTAAGGTTACAAGAGATCAAGTATTAATGGCTACTCAAAAATTGTTATAAAAATCTGTAAAAAAGAGAAGCATTCTTCCATTTTGACAAACCAAGTTGTGCCCACTTGCCCTTATTGAGTCCACACTGCATTACTGAAAATAAAGCCTAAAAGAGAAGGATGTCCCCCAGAAAAATAAAATCAGTTCTTCTAGATTTACAGATAAAATTTTGTGAGCCAATGTGAAGAACTAATCCATATGAATTCTCTCTTCAAGAAACATGTTTTTGTCTCACAAAAAATGTGAAAACTCTTCCTGATTCAAACCTTTTTCATTGTTCAACACTTCCTATGAAAAGATTTCGACCTGTGGTAACATTTGACTATAATTGTTGCAAGTCAACATTTGATCTACCAAAAACAAATTTGACATTTGATGAATCTAAATCCAGATTTCAGTCATTCTTTCTGGCTTTTATTTATAACAATCCCAATATGGACAATTTTTTAATTTTCAAACAACTGAATCACTCAACTAAGTCATATGTAGTGCCAGAGGCAAGTGTACTGTTAAGATAGTGAGTAGACAAAATAAATTTAATGATTTAAAACAAAAAAGATTTTAACAAAGATTTGGTAGATGATAAATGAAGAATTATGAAAATATTAAAAAAAGGCCAAAAAATTGAAGATGAAGACTCAATAAAATGTATTTATTTTTTAAAATGAGAAACAACCTATTTTTTTTTTTAACAAATAAAGAGAAAAGTAAAATATAATGAATGAAGCAACCATTCTCATAAGAAAAACAGTTTTTAAAAAATCATTCCTAAATATATTAATATTTAGAGCTTTAATTATTACTTTTAGAACTTAAAGTGGGACACTCTATATATTATTAATAAATAAAGGGAAAATACAAAATGATATAATAATTGTACTCCCTTCCTTGTTACCATGACTGATATGCTCTACCAATACCTCATAAATAATGGACTATTCCATTTTGATTGCATAGAAAGACAAATAAACAGAAGTGTTTAATACCAATTTCAGTGAAATGGAAAAATTTGTCAGTTTCAAATCTTTTTATTTATACTCTCTTACTTCTTAAAATAACAACCAGAATTCATTTTTATGATTATTATTGCAATATTTTCTTAAAGTTGTTAAGCTCAAATATCTAACTATGTGATAGGAGAATTTAAGTGATTAATCAATGTTTCTTACTTTTTTCTAATAATTTGAACAAATTTCATATTTTTAAGATATAAGATATAGCTCTTAAATTAACATTTCTTACTGTCTTTGAGAACTTTGTCTTCCTGATCATGGCAAGAAATGATGCAATGTATACTTACCCACTTGTTTCTTTCCTTTAACAAAATAATTTCTCTTTCTTTTCTGTGTCTAACATCATATTAAAATCTTAATACAATGTCAAACACATTGTGTTCGATTGAGACTTTCATATGGATGTCATGCATGGTGCTAAACCCATTTAGAAACATCTAAATAGTGAGTCTGTATACAAACATTTTCTCAAATCAATAGTTAAAAATGGTTTTGAACCTGGAGGTTATAGCAAG